ACAACTCTGGGGTAATAATGGCTCAGCAAAAATTAATAGGGACCTGAGAAATTAGCAATAGTAACAGTTAACAGCAATAAAAATTGCCAAGCAGTATATAAATGGACATTCAGAGGACAGAAAAGAAGCAACAGTGCTTCTAGTAGTTACTGAAAATATCTGGTTCCATAAAACAGAGAAAAAATAGAGAATCTTGGATACACAGCTCACTAAGACTTTTGCTATTGATGTTAAGAATAACAAGGTTTAATTTATTTCTTCTAGTGAAAAGACTCACAGACATAGATCATCACACACATCAGTAATGCACCTGCTTAGAAAACAAGTCTCCAGATACACATAGGTTGTAGGTCTTTGCTGGATCTAAACCTTGATAAATGACTAGTATAATGCAGGCCTGGGTACGTAGGAGGATTCAAAGTGGTCCACTTCATACAACACTTTTAACTATGATTGGTGCCTGGTATTTACCTAAAGTAGCATGAGAAAACCTATTTTGACAGGTTACCTTTTCTTCTAACAGAGGGTTTTCTCTTCGAGTTTTTCCCTTCATGTTTCCTATCCTTCAAAAGGGAAACAAGACAAGAGAATTATACCACTACAGAAGGATTGTCTAAATGCCATGTCATTCTAGGAAAACAGCTTGGTATTAGCTTTTCCGTTCTTGTTTTCCTTGAAGTGTGAATGAAGTTGACTAGGGACAGTGAAGGGCTTTTATTTTCACACTGTACAGGGATGAGATACAAGCCACACAACTCTCACTCTACATGTTCTATAGTTATCACGGCGTATTTTCCCTGTACATACTCCATCCACCGCACTGTGGCAGGAAACACAAGGCGGACACAAATGTTCCCTCCAGTTCTAAATTAAAGGTTCCCATTTGCATTTAGTGAAGGCATCTAGAGTACCATAGAGTTCTAACTTGCTCAGTTAAGCAACACTATGTCTTGCAGACCTGCACGTGTGCTGCTGCCAGCTGGTGCCATAGGCACAGGGTGCTGCAAGGCAGTGAAAACACATGCACAAGTGCAAGAAGACAAGAGAACTGGAAGACAGAACATCAGTTCAATAAAAGAAATCAAGCTGCCAAGCCTGGAGAAAAGAAGGTTCCAGGGAGACCTTATAGCAGCCTTCCAGCGCCTAAAGGGGGCCTAAAGGGAAAATGGGGAGGGACTCCTTCTGAGAGAGTGTAGCAATAGGACATGGGGTAACAGTTTTAAACTGAAAGAGGGGAGATTTCAATTAGATATTAGGAAGAAATTCTTTAGTGTGAGGGTGGTGAAGCACTGGAACAGGTTGCTCAGAGAAGTTGTGGTTGCCTCATCCCTGGAAGTGTTTAAAGACAGGTTAGATGGGGCTTTGAGCAACCTGCTCTAGGGGGAGGTGTCCCTGTGAGCATGGCAAGTGGGTTGGAACTAGCTGATCTTTAAGGTCCCTTTCAACCAAAACCATTCTATGATTCTACAACCAGCACAGTGCATGCACAAATCTTGGGTACTAATGCTGAGATTGCTTGCAGTCTTATTCATTTAAAATTGATTATGAGAAAGTAGTAATTGTTTGGTAAACCTTTTTTAACAAAAGATCTCGTACTTTAGTATTTCACAGACAGTACTGACAAAACTTTTGTCTCTCCCGTAAGATTTGCAAAATCTTTCAGACTTACGCTTCCAGTTCTGCACTGCTAGAAGGAAGTGGAAGAGTTTACACAAGGCCTTTTAAGTTAGCAAAACATCAGGAAAAAAACCAACTTTGTAACATACGACATGCTTATGGTTGAATTAAGCTGCTGGTATATCACCAGCAGAAATGAACGTGAGATACAATGGAAGGACAAGTAGGGAAATTCATTGGTAAGAACCCCATATCAAATTCAGAAATATTATTTTTAATGCTATAAATATACATCAGCAGCAAAAGGATGACAGAAGAAAACCTGATTTCACTGCTGAAAGAGGCAGGACTGCTGCTACAAAAAAACATAGAAAAAGTCAAGCTACTCAATGTCTCCTTTGCCTTTATCTTTACTGGTAAGATTTACCTTTGGGAATTCCAGGTCTCTGAGGTCAGTGGAAAAGTCTGCAGCAATGAATACTTACCCACTGCGTGGGAGAAGCAAGATAAGGAAAATGTAATCAAATTGGACATATACAAGTCCACAAAACCTGATGGGCAACACTCACGACTGTTGAGGACCTGGTCAATGTCACTGAGGCAGCTCTTGACTATCCTTCAAAGGTGATGGCAACTGGACAGGTTTCTGAAGACTGGAAGACAGCAGATGTCAATTCTCTCCAGGAACTGTGTAAAGGAGGATCGGAGGATCTATAGGCTAGGCCAGCTTCACTTTGATTTCTATGATTCTATGATTTCTGGGAAGGTGTTGAAGCAAATAATCCTGGAAGCCATTGCCAAACATATGAAGGATAAGAAGGTACTTGGAAGCAGTCAAAAAAGCTTTATGAATGAGAAATCATCTTCAAACAAACCAATATCTTTCTATGATGGGAGGATTGGCTTGATGGATGAGGGAAGTAGATGTTGTTTATCTCAACTTTAGTAAGGCTTTTGACAAATTTTCCCATAACATCCTCATAGGCAAACTGACGAAGCACAGGCAAGATAAGTGCCAGTGCAGTGTACTGAAAAGTGGTTGAACTTCTGGGCTCAAAGGGTTTTAATCACAATGTCCAGCTGGAGGCCAGTCAACAGTGGTGTACCCCAGCAGTTGATACTGGCACAAATACTGTTGAATATCTTCTGCAATGACCTAGACAATGCGACAGTGTTCACCTTCTCTCAGTAAGTTCGCAGATGACTCAAAACTGGGAAGACTGGTTGATACAACAGACTAGTCTACTGGACATGCTGGAGAAATTAAAAGAGACAGGAACCTTGTAAATGTTAATAAGGTGAAACATAATGTTATGCATCTGGGAAGGAATAACCTCAGGCACCAGCAGAAGCTGGGGGCCAAGCAGCTGGAATGGAAAACAGCTTTGCAGAAAAGGACCTGGGGGTCTCGGTGGATGGTAATTGAATGTGAACTAGCAATGTGCCTGATATACAGGGAGAGGGTGAGGGAGCTGGGGTTGCTCAGCCTGGAGAGGAGAAGGTTCATGAGGCATCTTATTTACGTCTATAAATACTGATGGTGGGCAGTAAAGATGATGAGGTAAAACTCTTCTCTCTGTGATGCCCTTGACAAGACAGGAGCCAGTGGGTATAGATCAAAAACCCCAAGATATTATCTTTAAACATTTGAAAAAGTTTATTCTACTCTAAGCATGATTGAACACTGGAACAGGTTGCCCAAAGATATTGTGGAGTCTCCATCCTTGGAGACATCCAAGACTCAACTGGATACTGTTTTGAGCAACCTGGCTTGGTTGACTCTGTTTTGAGCGTGTGGGTTGGACTAGACCATCTCTAGGGTCCCTTTCAACTAGTGATTATGTGATCACTGAGTCCGTGTAATAACACATATATTTCTTTGAAGCAACCTAGATGAAAATTTTTTATCTGATCTACTGAGAAAGGCCCAAACTCCTTAAAAAACGAGAAAGAAGCTGTAGGGTAAAAAACATAGAACTCTTCTGATACTCTATTGGTGACTTTGATCAGACTGAAATTTAAGTACCTAAACACCTTTTAAACACATTTTGAGCATTTAGATACCACAGTAGTGATAGCTCCAGAAATAAACATGACATTTACGCTTACTTAAACTCTTTGCAGCACAGGATTAAAATAGTCCAAATCCCAGCCCACGAGGTTGTATAAGAACTAGAACTGTGAAGAGTAACATTTGATTTACAGCTAAATTAATGCAAGAAAGTTTATTCAAATCACATTTTAAAAGTCGTCAGAATGGTGCCAGTGTTCCAATTGTAACTCACATGGGTCTATTAATTGTTTTCACAAGTGCTCATGTAAAGTCTAGCCTGAGACATCTTCACCTAGACACAGAATAATGAGACAAGCTGCCTTCAAGATGACAGTTTATTCTGTCCCTGCTAAGTTCTTTTTTTAAAAAAGAAAGGTATTTTCTGCCCCTTGAGTTTTTGCACTTAATATTCATTATCTTCATATTTTCATAAACTGCTTGTAGTTCCAATGCTGTACATAGTGTGGGAATAAAATGTTCCCTAAAGCATAAAATTTGTTTCATACCACATCATTTAATTTGAATCTTAAATTTTATCAAGAAATAGAAAAAAATAGAAATCTAACTTTCCCAAACAGCAAGTTCTCCACAAAATAAAAAAACTCACAGGTTCAGATAATCTTTTTTGTTTACAAACTTACGAGCATGAGAGATCTTTGAAAATCAGCTGTAAAGTTCATTTCCACATTATTTTACCTCCACTTTGTGACTGCTAAGTAGACAATACCTAATTTATTGATAAAGCATCACACGACATAGGCACTGAAAATACGAACATAAAGATACCCATTGCTGCCTATCAAATACTGACCCGAGTGCACAGTTGAGTTTAAACTCATTAGCCATCTCCACTAATTTCATGTAAGTCCATGATCATGAATGGATCAGGTGGAAATATCAAGGGCAAGCTGGAAGCTATGAAAAGCAAGGAGAAATGGGTGCCTATAAAGCCTTTCCACAGAGCCAGACATACACCAGCAAAGGAATGGTCCAGCTGCTTTCTCATCTGGCCAGTGCCAGACAATAAAAAAATGACCTGATTTCTCCCTAGAGGGATCCCAGTGACACTTGCTGCAAAGGCAGATGAGAATGTTTGTTGCCTAAACTTGGGCTGCTATTACAGCTTGTGGTTGTTAGAAGACTGAACCTCATGTACCCCAAGGTATCAAAGTGAATGTGCTGCTCCTTGGTGCAGGCACCACTGTACATGAAAAACAGGCATAATAACAGTTTTTAATTATTATTAAATAATAATAATTTATTTATTATAAAATAAAAGGAAAGGGGGGGGGAAAGGGGAAAAAAAACGAAAAGGAAAAAAAAAGGAGAAAGGAAAAAAGGAAAAGATAAAAGGAGGGCAACAGAATTTGTAGAGACAGAACTGCAAAATTTGGACACAATATGAGTATGCTGGATGAGATGGAGACTTCTCAAAAGGCAAGCCTATACAAGTAACACAATACAAAGGAGCTACAGGTGCATGGTTCACTTTTAGCAACCTCATCTGTGCTTTTGCACCAATACAAACTTGTGAAGCTACAATAGGCATGCTTCTTTCTTCAACATCCTTATTTTTTCAATAAAAGCATACCTGGAGAAGAGCCATGTCTGGGACACATAGAGGCTGAATAAAAAAATCAGGAACCCATTCTCCTAGAGGGAAAAAAAAAAGGAGTGAAAAATGAGCATTATTTTAAATGTGAGTTTTCATAGATGTGCAAGTTTATTTTACATTTCATTATGGCTAGAAAAGCAATCCAAAGTTTCTACCCTGTAAAAAGATGTTATTGATTATATCAGAAAGCTTCACATCTGGCTCATACTTGGAACAGCTTCTTCATGAGGCTTTTCAAGTGGACATTTTACTGCCATCTCTTATCTCCAAGTCAATGAAGTACTGTAATGATGTATCAATGGAGTTACAGATCTGACCATACTTTCATACCTAGACTGATCTTTAATGTCACTTATGAGCAGTCTAAACACCATGTTACAGGTAAGAGGACATGTCACCTGGGAAAGTGTACTTCAGAAGGTAGAGGTTGTTGATTGTGCTGGGTTTGGCTGTGAAAGAGTTAATTTTCTTCATAGTAGCTGGTATGTGGCTGTTTTGGAGATGGGGTGGCACCAGCATTGATAATACAGGGATGTTTTCATTATTGCTGAGCAGAGCTTGCACAGCATCAAGGCCTTTTCTGCTCCTCACACATCCCACCAGTAAGCTGGCTAGGAGGGCACAAGCTGGGAGGGGACACAGCTGGGACTGATGACTCCAACTGGCCAAAGGGATATTCCATACCACATGACATCAAGCTCAGTATATAAAGCTGGGTGAAGAAACAGGAAGCGGGGAGCATTCAGAGTGATGGCATTTGTCTTCCCAAGTAACCCTTACTTGTGATGGAGCTCTGCTTTCCTGGAGATGGCTGAACACCTGCCTGCCCATGGGAAGCAGTGAATTAATTCCTTGTTTTTCTTTGCTTGTATGTGCAGCTTTTGCTTTACTTGTTAAACCATCTTTATCTCAGCACACAAGTTACTCTTCTGATTCTCTCCCTCATCCCACCACGGGGGAACAAGCAAGTGGCTGTGTGATGCTTAGTTGCCAGCTGGGGTTAAAACACAATATTGATCAACACCACAAAGCATACACAGATGTTTTCTCACCTCTGTCTCTCCATGATAATAACGGACAGCTGAGAAGAAAGTTTTAGGAAAATCCACACAAATTGAGATATACTTCTTTCATTATTACTAATGACATTTTCATAGCCTAAAACTTCATGGCACACACTGAATATGGGCTTCCCAGTTTCTCTGTACTGTTGTACTGAGCAGAGAGAGCTTTCTAGCTTGCCGACAGAACTAGATCTACAATAGAGAGATCTAATCTTTTATCCGGGTTCACTGTGTGAATCTCTTGTTGTCTGATACTAATGCCTTTTGCCAGGTTCTAAAAGTTCATCAGCCATACCAAGTCCAAAAGTGAAGCAAGGCTACGAAATACATACCTGCAAGTAGCCTTGGTTCTGGAGGCAGGAAAAAAAAAAATCACCTGCTTTTGCCAAAGATTCATGTCAGAAGTAATTCCTGAAGAAACAGAGAAAAATATTCAGGTCTGAGGATGGTCCTGTTCAAGTTCAAAAGAGTAAAATGAACTGACCTGTAAGGTGAAAATAAATTCTCCATTGTCTCTTCAAGTAGAATATTAATAGGGTAAAATAAAATAAACCTATTTTCCTTCTGGTCTTTGAGTAAGTAAAGATGGTTTGGCCAGTGTACAATAGTATTCCAGAAATGCACCTGCTGTTTTGTAAGTTAAAAGTAACTTTTTAATTTTTGTAAATTATTCTGGACCGCAGAAGAAAGAAAATCCATCATAAAATAAAGCAATTAAAAAAAATAGAAAAAACACCTTTACTTACTAGATATTTCAGGAAAACTCTTCACAGGGTGATTACAAAGGACAATCATTAAGAAATGTTGGTGTTAAAAATATTAATGCAGAACACGAAACAATATCCCATCATTATTAAACTGTCAGGCAGTTGCCTGGAGAGAGAAGAGACCGACCCCCACCTCTCTACACCCTCCTTTCAGGTAGTTGTAGAGAGCAATAAGGTCCCCCCTCAGCCTCCTCTTCTCCAGGCTGAATAACCCCAGCTCCCTCAGCCTCTCCTCATAAGACTTGTGCTCCAGACCCCTCACCATCTTTGTTGCCCTTAAATTATTCACTTATTAGTTAAGCAATGAGCCTAAGACAGAATTTATGTGGAAGATAGTTTGAAGGCAGGAAAGGATTTCAGCACTAAGTGGCCCCTGGTCCCAGCTAGGTCATCCATATAGCACTATTTTCAAACATACTGAAGTAGTTTCCATCATACCATTAAGTGGTATGGTCAGACTCAGCATTTAGATTTTGCACAACGGTTCACTTTCCACAACACATTTTCCTAGAAGCACTGAAGTTTTCATTGCAACATAGAATGTTTCTCTGACATGAATTCATGTCAGTGACAGTGTACTATTGGAGCTTAATCTTCCCAGATTACCTGTTTTGAAGAGTACAACTAAAACACTGATCAGGTGAAAGATAATGTGTTCAAAGGCAAAAATTGATTTTTGATATTCACAATTTACAGTAACCAAATTTTTGTGGGGATACCCACACAAAACCAGAAGTACATTAGAAAAATAAGAAAGTTATTTCCACTTCCCATATTTTTATAATGATAGATGGATTATGAATCCTTCCCATCCTGGCCAGTTTATCTTCTTGTAATCATTCACTATAATGACCTTGAAGGCCTTCACACCCCAAATCAAGAACACCACATGTTGCTACTGTTACTGTTCAAAAGACAGCTTCAATTAAAAATACTTAACAAAATTTGGGATGTGTGATTTTTTTCTAACTTCCATTACTTTCACTCAAATTTCTTTGTTGATTTTCCCCTTTTTCCTGTTTCTTTTTCTGTTCATTACCCTTGTGTTATGGTTTGAGAAAACCCATAACAATCTGTTGTCGTTTAGACAATTATTCTATCACCCGATGACCCCTCCCCACCTGGAAAGGGGAATCGGGGAACACAAGAAAACACAAGGGTTGAAATATAAATAGATTTAATAGACTAAGACTAAATAATTAACAATAATACTAAAGAACCAGTATTAATCCCGATACTGATATAAGATACAGGAATTACACTCAGCTGATTTTATCAGCAGGAAGCTGTGCACTCCCAGCAGTGGACAGCAAATGGTGGACACTGCGAGCGCAACGGCTTCAGGAGGAAGCGAAGGCCTCAGGGGTCTGGCACCGGGGCAAGGAGTTGTCTGGACCGCTGCCATCAAGGGAGAGTGAGCTACACAGCAAACTCTTCTAATTTATATTGAATGTGACATTCATGGTATGAAATAATCCTGTTGGCCAGCCTGGGTCAAATGCCCAGGCCTTGCTCCTTTGTCCCTGCACCTGGCAAGGCTCAAAAACACTAAGACCTTGAATCCCAGACAGCCTGGCTGGCTATAAAGTAAATATTTTCACAAATTCAGACACTAAAGTCTTCTAGAAGTGCAATTTTCCCCAGCATCAGAAGACAAGTTAGTCCTGTGTCTCTCAACCCAGGACACCTTGGTTTTCAAAAACTGGTAATATTCTTTCTCACCAATCCCTCCTTCCCTCACTTTTTCTCAGTTCTCGTGCTAATTTCTTGGGTTTTCATCTTCCCCCTCTGTCAACACTCACCCGTTTCCAAAATTTTTGTCACAGCCACTCAGTTTCCCAGTTTGTATTAGCACTTTCACAACTGAGTCTTATTTTTCTCTGCTCACTCATCTCACCCTTATTAATCTGTCCCATCCCTGTCACTAGCTCTTCCTCCTTCCTGTATATTTAGTAATTGATCTCAAAAATGCTGAGTCTCAGAGGGGTTCTCTCCTTACAGAGAAGACAGTACTGAGGAAGTAGAGAAACTGAAGGGAAACAGTGACTGCTGAAAGCCACTGTCAGAGCCTGGCATTAAAAATCACCTTTTTTGAGTTCCAGGTACCTTAAACACTCAAACCACATTTTTCCTGCTTTTCTCTTTCATTTTTTTCCCCATTTTCCATTTTCATGACTCTCCATATCTTCAAAGAACAAGAATCCAACCTCTCTTACCTGGAAACAGAGAGGTAAATACACAAAGCTATTTGTGTTATTCCTTCTTACCAGAAGGCACGAAGGACTGGAAGGCCCTAAACTACATCCTGGGACCAAGAATTTTATTTCCTCCATTGCCAATATTCTGGAAACTCTTTCCTCAAAGCCAGGGCACTGCTCAACCCAGCCCTTATGTTAGATTACAGACTTTTAGTTTTGAAATAGCACTGCTTAAAGTTCATAGAAACATGCAAAGGGTAACATTTATTTTTAAATAACCACTTAATAAATGTCAGCGTTCAGCTCTTGAAGGATATTTTCCCATTCAAGTCTTAATAAACCTATCATCATCTACCTCAGTTAAAGAAATTGCCAAAGAACAGTATCTGGCAAGGCCACACATTTCTCTCAGACCTTGTGGTGAAATAAAATGAACAACATGGAAGAGTGACAGATTGCACTAATAGCGAAGTTTAACGACTTTGTTTTCCTTTATTTTACATACCACTGTAAATCTGGAATAAGTAATTCAGAATTTGCAGTAATTTGAATAAAACTAACATGAAAAACAAGCTAAGGTCAATCCACTGATTGCTGTGTTTTGCCCACAGACATTTTGTAACTGTTCCAGAAATATCTCTCTAAGTATAACTTCAGAGGACATATGAGCATTTCTTCCTTTGTACATTGTTATAATATTATGGTAGGGCCTGTCATTAACAGTTAGAAACAAACATCAATAAAACATGCACACGTGGTGGTGTTTTCTTTAAGAACAAGCATGCCTACTTCTGCTAGCCATACACTAGTCTGAAATGTAGGAAGCTTTGGGTTTCAGTTTTATCCCTTCTAATTCTATTTTGTGTCTCCCAGTCTAATTTCTGGCTACTCAGGGAGACAGAAGGGGTTTTTTTTCATGCTTTAACCTTAATCAGAGGTAGACAATCCCAACAGGAAAAACAACAAGAACAACAAAAAACAACGACAAACTTCTGAAGCCTCAAATATTAATAGACTTCACCTCAGGCTTAAGACCTCATCTCAAACCCACAGACTCACAGCTTTCAGTGCAGAATCAGCTTGAATGTATCTGGCAACACAGGCAGAGCAAATTTGATTCTGTCCACAAAACCCTGCACAGAGATGTCTTTGCACGTCCCCATAGGAGTGATCAGGAGCACAGTTTGGCCTCATGTGTCTTAATTCATCCCTTAATCATCCTCTGACACGTCACTCAGGAGTTTCTGCCAGGTTGTTCCCAAAATCCTCTGGGTATTTGGAAGCCTGGCAGTAAGCGAGACAAATTTTCTAGACAGTACCTTAATTTCTCAACTGCTGAACACGCATTACTCTTCAGAATCAAACCCATTAGTGCCCAGAGCCCCATTTATTTCTCACAGATGATCAAATAACTTCAGACAGGACTCCGGCTGAAAAAACTCAAGCTATACTTTTCCAAATCATCTCCTGGTAGCCTTATGTGCAGCAGCTTTCATGCTTACGATATATCCATTTAAGCAGACTTTTCCTCTAAAGTCTTTACAAACACTCAGTGCTCAATAAAATAACTGAGTTCATTTCAAGATATTACCCTTTAAATACTAGCCTTGCCCATAAAACAATACAGGCAGCTGTAGTAAAGTATTTCTTTTTTATTTTCTCAGATTTTTTTTTATTTTCTTCTATTTTCATACAACCCACTTATCTCACAAAACTCTGCTACTGAAAATCCAGATGTAAACATCCCTTTTAGCTGGATAAAATAACAATATAATCACACTCTACTGCTCTGCAATTAAACTATAAGTTTTGTGATGAACATGCAATTGCTCTTAACTGAAAATACATCAATAGATGTGAGACAAATTTATATTGAGAACAAAGGCTGTATTTGCTTACATTGTGATACTCTTCACAAAATTAGAGGCATGATTTAGTACCTACAAAATTCAGGGGAAAGTCTCTCACTGACTTTGGATTTTGGCTGATACCCAAACTGAGTTTGTCCAAATAAGCAGGTCTTCAGAAAGCCCTGATGGAGTAAAAAGAAGTAAAAAAGGGAAAATAAAAAAAATAATTAAAAAACAAACAAACAAACAAAAGATTAAAAAGTATATTTTAACTGTGGCTTGCAGACCAGTTTCCTGCAAAAAAAGAGTAAGTGTCACATGTAACAAAAATACTTGGCAAACTTAAAGAATGCCTAGGAAATGGGGATAAGCAGGAGATTCACTAAAAAAAGAGCACTGAAATCAGAGTTGGTGTCACCATTGATAAGACTGTATTTATTTTATTTCTGGAAGTTATGTTCTGAGTTTTCACACAACATTTATCTCATGTTTCTGTGTAAAATCACTGCTTTGCCACTGCTTGGGTTACTGGCCTGCCAAATATGTTATTTCTCAGTGCACGAGTGACTTCCCTGGCAGGAGAATAGTGACTAACT